AACAATCCGTCTGGTATAGTAGGCCGAAACATTATTACTTTTTCTTTTTTAATAAGACAACTCCCACATTAGGAATCTATCCTGTGTTACGAGGGATTTTACAAACATACATGAAACGGACACTAAGGAGAGGCTTATGTACAGATGTGGACTACTAACAGCTGTTAATGATGTACTAGTCTATCTAGTAAACTAGTTTTATACTCGCAATCACCGCAACGTAGATAATGATTACATAACTCTTGATAAAAACGAACATGTTAGCAAAAACTAGCCGTTCCAACTAACTGTTAACGAGTGAACATGTTATAATGAGACGTTTTAACTAATTATGTGATTAATTACTGATGTTTTTAATCGACAAATTATCGACTGGAACAACTCTAACTAGAACCAGTACTAACAGAGTACCAATACAGCGTTGGGATCTTGGAGTTAATTGTGTGTTTTTAATTTATTTTAAGAGTACATTTTTTTTTATAAATAACGAAAAAGGAATTTCTTGATTAATTAAATATGTATAATGATGTTTCCAATGATCCCTTTATACCAGGATTATAGGTATTATAGGTAAACATCAGGCAAAATAGACTGACCGTTTTCAAGCCAATTTCCCCATGTCCCCTTTGTACAGAGCGTCTCGCCACCACCCCGGCCTGCTTTTGCTAGGGTGACAGATTCTACAGTTGACGCTAGGATCATAGAACCTAAAAGATATTTTTAAAATGAACAAAATTAAATGTAAAATATTTTGGGATGTATTATTATATTTTGGGACCTACAAAAACCACATTGATATAGGATACTTTGATTCCTTCTTCACAACCGAGTGTGTAAAACTGTTGACAGCAGTAACATACTTCTGTCTATCCTATTAAAACATGCAAGCGTGATTATATAATTTCCAGTGGCCAATCATCAAATACTCAACAATTTACGTTCACGCTCACAACATTTAACTTAAAATTTTGATTAAATCATGCAACTACCGATTAAGTAACAGTGTGGAGTCGATTGCTGTGTATAATCGATTAGCCGATTCGATTCTTACTTGTAATCGATAACCGTGGTTAATGTGACATGTATTATTATTTCTTAACTAGTTGGTATAATTATATAGATTTACTTTTAGCTTGAAGAGTTGTTAAAATGTCCGATCATGTAAATGTGTTATATAAATTATTTGGGGCTGTTGGTCTAGTGGTTAGTGACCCTGACTGCTAAGCCGGAGGTCGTGGGTTCGGCTCCCAACCATGTCAAATAATTGTGTCGGGTTGTAATTTATCTATAATATGTATGAATTTAGAAATATAAAAGTATGTTTATCAGTAGTCTGATTACCATAGTACAGGCTCTGTCTAGTTTGGGATCAGACAGAGATCAGAGTCTAGGGCATACATAAACCAACTTAACATCCATCATCACCACATCAACAGCCTTTAATAGTCCACTGCTGGACATAGGTCTCTCCTTAGAAAGGAGGTTTTGGCCTACTATACCACGCTGGTCAGGCAGGTTGGTATTGGGTTTGTATCAAGTTTTTCTTCTCTTTGCAGTGCTGTTGTCCTGCGTAGTAACATGCATACTTACTTAAATAATATTATAAATGTGAAAGTGAATTTGTTGGTTTGTTACACTTTCACGCCTAAACCACTACCCCGAGTTTAAACATTCTTAAAAATTTGAAATCGGTTTAGTTGTTTAGGCGTGAAAGCATATCAAACAAACAAACCTACTTGCACATTAATAACATAATATTAAAATATCGATGTCTGAATAAATTAAATCCAGGTTTTTTTTCAAGAATCGTGATAACTTGATAATGATAGTTAATAAACAATTGTTTGCAATTTACAAGATGTCTGCTAAATTATGTGATTATAGCAAATTACCGGCAACTTATTTACATTTGTACGACACGCAAATTGTCATTCGACATTTCCTCTGTAATTTTACATGACACTTTATTGGTAGAATATTTCTGCAGTTATGGTACTAGTTAGAGAACTACTATGGGGTATCCCGAGTCTGGTCAAAGAGTGGCTCCTCCGTTTTATAAATGCTAATCGGCGTGATAACTTTTTATATCGCGATATAGAATAAGCATTTACTCCGTAGTTCGGCGTCTCTTCGTTAGATGACGCTGTAGCATGTCTGTGCAAGTCGCTACATGTGTGGGACTAGTCTTAAGTAAAAAAGTAAAGTAGTTGTCGACTAAAGTATTTTTTCATGATGATTGTGTTGTTACATTTCAAATAATGTTACCCACTAAAATGTAAAAATAATTGAATTATTACATGAAGAATTATTTTAGTCGATAACGGTATTTTTAATTGAAAACTACCGACAAACATATGATTACTTATTTAACACTAAATAATTATTCGTAAAGAAGTACTAGACGTGTAAAGACTGCATAGATGGCGTAGTGGTTTAGTCTGTCCCCTCGCCGCTTCCTACTACATTGAGTATTGTGAGTTCAATCCCCACATGGATCATGGAACAACACATTGTGTAATCCACAAACTGTTGTTCTGAGGCTAGGTGTTCTTTGTGCCCGAATCATAAATGTTTGTAAAGTTAACCGCAACACAGGATATATTCTTAGTACAAGAGTTGTCTTTTAAAAAACTAAATAAATATCTTCAGCGATATTTTCTACTTGAAAAAATTACAAATACTTATCGATATGTTATTTAAAATTCTATCGACACTGTCCCAACACTAAAATCCAATTTTTTCGCCGCACCCTCGCCGTGCCGTATACATATTTATCAAACATTACACCACGGTTAATGATCCCTAATTCTATTAAATATCTGTCTGTTTGTTTTGATCTCACAAACATTACTTACATGTGTCGGTAGTATTTTTATTGTAGTAAACCTTTTTGAATATATTTTTAGACAGACCCTGTAGGTACTATGGTAACCAGACTGCTGATAAACATACTTATATGTTTCTAAATACATACATATTGTAATTAATTACACCCAGACAGGGAACAAATGATCGTGCTCATCACACAATTATTTGTCCTCGTTGAGAATCGAACCCTGGACCTCTGGCTTAGCAGTCAGTATCGCTAACCACTAAACCGTACTTACATCATGCTGAATTATAAACTGTATTCTTCATTACTTAATTTTCCATTCTTAGGGGTGGTATTTTTTTTTATCAAATTTCAATGATATCTAATGGTTGGTATAATTATACTTCTACTTTATAAGAGCAGACTAAGGGAAATAACTACGCAGAACAACCGCACTGCGGAGAGAAGGAAAACTTGACACAAATCCTATACCAACCCGTCTGGCCAGCGTGGTATAGTAGGCCAAAACCTCCTTTCTAAGGAGTGGCTTATGTCCACTAGTGGACTGTTAAAGGTGTTGATGATGATGAAGCTGTGAAATAAATTAACTTACTTCTAATATAATAAGTAGAAGGCATGAAAATAACAAACACTTTCCGCTTCAGTCTTTAAGAATGAGTAAATGAAATGAATGTCCATTATCATGAACGAAATAGCATATTTACACTCTACTACAAAACCTATCTCAAATAAGGGGTAATTCCCCAAATCTTGTGTAACATTCATCCCTAAACCACAACAAGCGATAATTTCATAACTACCCCCAAGCGTGTTGTGTTAGATAAGAGGGTGAGTAAGGGTTGGTTTTATTAACTGAGTATAAAAATCTTTTACGCTCGATGTTTTTACGCCCCATTGGTGGGGTTTGTTTGTAAGGATAGCAGTTTATTTTCTGTGTTGGGTAAAAAAGATTGTTTTTTATTTATTGTTGGAGAGGAATTGCTGTCATGTCAGTCTAACACAGAGTTAGGGTCCTCCGACCAGGCTAGGCAGAAGGAAATTGTACTTTTTTTACCGTGACGGGGTGGAAAACCCCTTTAGATCACCCGCTCTTTAGGGACGAAATAGCTAAGAGTATGTTAGCTGCAAGCTTCTCGTCCAAAATCGACCCTATCACTACGGCCCGATCACTTCTTGATACGATCAAGCCGCCACCCAAACCCCTATAGGAATAAGTGGTCCCTTAGTGGTGAATAATGTAAGTTGGCTGCATACTGGCTTCCTAAGATCAGAGGATCTGATGTAAATCTTAAAAATAAGACTAAATTTTTCAGAAAAACATATCACAATAGTATTATTTTTGGCGTTTACAGACCTTAGGGGTGATTTGAAGTTACATAATTTAGACTTACCGGAACTCGGTCGGTCACTGTACCTAGTACAGTAGACCCACGCTGGCCACACCATGGAGCCATCAGCCATTGTTGTACCTGAGGAATATCATTATAATGTAACTGTTCGCGCCACTAAACAAATTTCGTGAAACTATTACTTTAAATATTTTGGTTGGTATCATATCACCTCCACTATCCCTTTCCTGCACAACACCTACACAATATGTGTGAGCGAGATGGACTCACCACCGCACGCTGCGCATTCGTTGTACATAAGTGAAAAAAGTAGTCTCGTTTCGTCCGTGTTACCGTCGTTTTCGAAATGCGCGCGTGTGCCACTTGAAAAATCGCAAATTAATAACTTTCGCATTGTGGTTTGTGAATTTGGTGAAATTAGCCCCTGGACTTTACGCTGGTCCGCACAGGAAATAAGGTATCGTGCCATCCATCCCGTTGGAACTGATTCTTACTTTCATTTTTCCTAACAGTTCTAATTTCCTACCTTGACGCCAACCAAGTTTTACAATATCCTCCTCGAACTTAGCTAACCCGCGCATATAGTAACTAATGCAAAAAGTATTTCAAGTATTAGGTAAAACTAGGTACTACATAATACCATATTGGCTGATACTTTTTTTCTACAGAATGAATTGTTAGAGGATTATTAAAAAGTAATACAAATATATCCAGATTGACAGGGAAATCATCTTTTATATATTTAAAAGCTGGAGGAAACTAGACCCACGGCGGTCTGATCGTTAACTAAACACTATGATGGCCAAAAAAGCAAAATACTAGGCATAAAAATACTCACCACCAGCTGTAGAACTCTGGTTACTTCCACTGTCGTCGCCTTTTGATAAGTCTATCGCTCCAGCCTTCTCCCCAGGCTTCACTTCCGGGACTCTAGCCTCATCAGGCTTCGACGGTGAAGCCTCTTTCACCGGAGAAACCTTAGCCTCAACTCTACTCTTCATCTTTCTCTTATTAAGGGGATCTGTGATACGTCTACCAAAGTCGGCTTTCAAAATATTGTCTATACTGAATTTCAAACAATTTTGGTTAATGAAGTCCCTTTCAGACTCATTGTCGGGAGATTTAGGTGTTACATAGTTCACTCTTCTATTTTCATCTGTTCTTCTTACTTCTTGATTCTGATTCTTCATTCTCAAGCCAAAATTCAGACCGAACGGTTGAGGATTAAGATTTAAATTGTTTTGCGGTACTGGCAACCGGTTTTGGAGACCAGATTTTAGATCTACCTGACCGATTAAAGGATTCTGGAATAGTAGGGGTTGGTTTAGGAACATTAGGGGGTTTGGGGTGATTGGACTAGGCCGCAGTAGAAGAGGTTGGTTCATGTTAATGTTTTGGTTCAATTGTGATATGGCGTTTAGATGCGTTTGTATGTGTTTGAATGAGGTTAAGTTTTGAGAGGTTTCTGGACCTTTGTGTTCGAATGTTGGTAATGCTTCATTACCAACTGATAGAACCGTATCATCGCTGCAGCAAGAGTTATCATCTATACTGATTTCTGCTCTCGATTCATTTGTTCTATCATCATCATCGTCAATAATATCAGAATGTCGTGAATTCTCGTTAATCTCTCGCAAATCTTCGTAATTCGGAGTACTTTGAAGAAGTTTATCTGTTGAAAACACGTTTTCGGGGCTATGACTGTCTCTTTCTTTTTTTAATACGTTATGTATAGCAAAAGAAGACGACAGTATAGGTCTCTCTTCAGCCTTTTCCTCGTCATGATATTCAGGACTGGTGGTGTCTCTGGTATTGGGAGAGTAAGCTTCGTCATCGCTTTGGTCTTGGATCTTGATTCTGGAGTCCTGCAAGTGGGCCGAAGAAACCGCAGCCATTTTGGGCGGGGGTATTTACGCCATCTGTTGAAGAAAATCAATCTGTTAAGGTCATAATTAATAATTTTAAGAACGGATTTCGGTGTAAGGTCAGAACCATAAGATGTTCCTTGAACACCAACCTAAACCATGAAGTGTTTTAATTCGATATACCAATTTTTATTTATTTCCTCTGCACTTTCTTTTTCTTGATGGGGTGGTAAATCAGTTCGGCTCACCGCCGACGACTTAGGTGCTCTACTCTGGGGAGAACCCGGACCATGTGATTTCAGGTCGCGCTTCCACACCACTCTACACAGACACCATCAGTAGACCGGTAGGTGGTAAATGGTGCAGGCTTAAGTTGCTTTAAGTTTGTTTGGTTAAATGCGTTTGTCTCAGAAACTAGGTACGGGTTGGAATTTATAAATTCTTTTAGTTTTGGATAGCCAACTTATCGAGGCTAGCAGCAAGCTGTACATCATCACGCTACGAGTAATAGGGGCCCAGCATCTATGAATTACTTTGCAAAACGTAAAAAAAATATTTCTTGTGAAAAGTGCAAACAAAGCTGCGCGGATTAGCTAGTAAACAAAAAATACATAGGTCCATGTATAAGTATTTTAATAGCGTAATCAAAATGCTGTAAGTGACGTTAATTTGGTGCGTAGGAAGTCCCTTATGGCTCTCGTATCTCGTGGTTACACAATTCGAAACGTATCTATTTAATGTGTAGGCAACAGGTTCGGTTTCCTCTTCAGATAACTGTTTTTGGTGGTCTCTCAGGGACTCCAAAACACTGAAACATATGTATTTAACATAATATAATAATAAACTATGTATAGCCGAACAGGCCAGGCAGGTGTTACTCACATGTCCAAAAGTTGAAAATTATATGTTTTAATAATGCAAACTTGATATAATTCACACACGGCCGTCTGATCCCAAACTAGGCAGAGCTTGTACTATGGTAACCAGACTGCTGATAAACATACTTATATATTTCTAAATATGTACATACATAGTATAGAAAAGCGCTGATAGAATGACAACCTGGTGATATTCTAAAAGCTAGAAATCCCCATTTATAAATGTTTTCGATACATTCGTCGTGTGGTGACGGATTAAGAATACGGATTTTAACAACCCCTACTTAACCCCGTGGGTGTCGTAAGAGACTACTAATGGAATAAACAAGGGAGGATAACATCATTGCAACGAGAAGGAAAACTTGCACTTGTATAGCAGGCCAAAACCTCCTTTCTAAGGAGCGACCTATGTCCAGCAGCGGACAGATTAAGGCTGTTGATGATGATGATGATTCGTAACTCTCTGTCTATCTATTAAGTTTCCATAAGTAAATCGCTGAATAATTTTCAAAATGTTTGTGTAGAGTCAAGTGAAACTTGGAGAAGGGCATAGACTAGAAATAAAGGATAAAGGCTTGTATAGGAGAGACGCCAGCAATTAACCAATTGGATGAGCTAATTGGATTGATTGTTTGTTACAAGTTTACTCTTTAACTTCTAAACCAATTGGAATTATTTGCTGAACTATATTTTTATCTTTTTTAAAAAGACAACTCTCGCACAAGGAATAAATCCTGTGTCGCGGGGGACTTTACAAACATACATGAAACTGACACAAAGAATACCCAGGCTCAGGAGAACAATGTGTGGATAACTCAAAGCGTCGTCCCGTGTGGGGATCGGAGCCACAACACTCAGCGTAGTAGTGAGCGGTGTTACGACTGCTTAAAAAACTACAAACGACTAAAAGAAGTATTATTCAAGAAGGAAATATTAATTTAAAAAAGGAATGTCATCTTTAATGCGTCTATGTCTTCATCATTTTAATAGTCCACCACTTCACAGCCTTTAATAGTCCACTGCCGGTCTGATCATGATTAATTGTAATAATAAACTGTGTTCTTTATTCCTTAATTTTCAGCCTTAGGGGTGGAATTTAAATGTAACGGAACAAGCAGTAGGCCCTTTCAAATAAAATAACTTTCCAAATCGGTTGGGAAAAAATAATAATATTGTAGCACATTCACACAACGCCATCTAGTCCCAAACTAAGCAGAGCTTGTACTACGGCAACTAGACAACTGATATAAATAGATATATACTTTTTTTTATAAATACATACTTATTATACATAGACAAACCCTATACCAACCCGTCTGGCCAGCGTGGTATAGTAGGCCAAAACCTCCTTTTTAAGGAGAGGCCTATGTCCAGCAGTGGACTGTTAAAGGCTGTTGATGATGATGATGATACATAGAAACAGACCAAATCAAACATTAAATGCACATAAGTCATGCACACAAATGTTTGACGTGAACGGGAATCGAACCCACGACCTTTGGAAAAGCAGTCCGTTACACAAACCTCTACGCCACCCGGACTAAATTCAATCAACCGAATTAAGACTCCCTGTTTTGGAAGTCGGTTAAAACGCAAAATGTGAAATGATGATGCTTTATTACACTATTAGCTTCACTTGTACGTTTGTATGTTTGTTTGTAACCGACTCCTTTGGGCGTGATTTTGACTGACTTTATACGGTCAGAATTCATTCAAACTTTGTAGATATATCGAGGACCGATGACAACACACTAATTAAAAAAAAAATAGTATTAAAAATCTAAAAACACGCTTTTTATAGAAAACCAAACTAAAAAATAGAAAATAAATTTTAATAAATTTGAAGAAAAAGCGTGGGGTGCCTTTTACTATTGACAACAGGCACCCAACGCTTTTTTTCAAATTTATAAAAAAATATTTAAACAATACTCTTAGAATATTTAAACAATGTACCTAATATCAATGACGTATTATAATATTGTTTTGTTTATATATCATTGCCTAATATTAGGTCTTTACCTATGAAATTGCCGTTTTGTATGCATTATGTGAAAGTACTTATTTTTTCAATCTTTTTTATTTCTGTTATTCGAAGTAATCAACCATGCAATCGACGCATCTTTGCCAACGCATTGGCAGTTTATTGATGCCTTTCTTGTAAAAATCAGCTGGACGGCAGGCAACAAACTCTTCAAAGGCATTTTGTACTGCCTCTCGGGAATTAAATTTTTTACCCACTAAAAAGTTGTGTAAATTTTGGAAAAAGTAATAGTCGGTAGGTGGTCTGGTGTAATAGTCTGGTGGTCACATCTGCAACCAGCTTTGGTCAATCGGTCATCCCCACCACATAAGACCTATTATTTTGTGTGTCTTTCAGCGGTACATAGCTTGTACATAATAAAATTGACATCTTAACCACTATGTATCACAAAATTAAATGAAACTGAAAATGAAACGCGAGCGAAGCTGCGGCCAATAACTAGTACCTATACATAAAACGATAAAAGATGTGTGGAATATAATTATATGTAAATTGGATAATTTCTATAACGAAAGTTGCTATAAACAGGTGTATTAAAATTCCTTAGTTGTGACATGTTTTATATTTACGCAAATAATTTGTACATGTTATAGGAGACGGGGACGGGAGAAAACCGCACCAAGCCGGGTAATAAAACTAGTTCTAGGCAGTGCGGCTGGTTAGATGCTCTACTTTGAGGTATTATTCGTGGATTAAGTCTGACCGCATCTGTAGTAAATGACTTCAAAGTCGTAACAATACTAGCCATTTTCCGAGCTGTCGAGAGTCAAACAGGAACCTCAAATATATTTAAGAAATAATAAATAAATACGTAGAAACTCACTATTTTTTTGGTACCTACCTTCTTATGTATGTACAAGTTTTAAACTATTACCATAACCAAACATTTGCTTTAGTCATAGTTTTAGTTGAAATTTACATTTAATTTCCTTGTCCTCTTTTGGTATTTGATATTTATTACTTACATAACTTCGGTACTACATACTTCCCCTACATAGTTCTTTCTCCATAAAAATTCTTTACTTTTAACTGCTCTAATTTTCCCTTCTTTATTAACCTAACTCTATACTTACACACTATAATTCTGAGGGGGCTGATTCAAAGTGTGCCAATTCACTCGTAGCTATAGTGTTGCAGGGGTGTCCATGAACGGTGGTAGTCACTTAAAATCAGGTGACTCATCTGCTAGTTTGCTCCCTGCGAGGTGTATTAGAATAACTAAAATATTACTCTATGTAATCTTCTCTGATATTGTACTCGTACCTACTCTATGCATTCTAAATTAACCATTTATATTTATACAACCAATATTTGACGACCGGATGGCGTAGTGGTTTGTGTAACGGACTGCTATTCCAAAGGTCGCGGGTTCGATTCCCGCTCAAGTCAAACATTTGTGTGCATGAACATTTACTGTTTCATTTGGGCTGGGTGTTTCTATGTATAATAAGTATGTATTTACAAAAAAAAGGATTTATGTATTTATATCAGTTGTCTAATACCCATAGTACAAGCTGTGCTTAGTTTGGGACTAGATGGCGTTGTGTGAATGTGGTAGAATATTATTATTTTTATTCATAGAAATATAGAGAGCATCATTCGGCATTCGATCGTTTCATCATCATAATCATCATCATCAACAGCCCCTAACAGTATACTGCTGGAGACAGGCCTCTTCTTAGAATGGATGTTACGCTGGCCAGACGGATTGATATAGGGTTTGATTTAAGTTTTCCTTCTCTTTGCAGTGCTGTTTTTCTGCGTAGCTTGCGCCCTTAGTCGGCTCTTAGTCGCCTTAGTCGTATTCACATTATCTCATAGTCATATCTATATACGATACCTTTTTAATCTGTAATAATAGCGTCCGAACCATGTGTTATTTTTATGTATATATTAACATATATGTATATAAAATATCTACTTATTTAAGTAAAGATAAGTAGCAATATAGTAGCTGTTACAACTGAACATAGCCTGGCCCCGGTGTAATATAACAGACTTGTCACATTAAAACATTTATTGCTGTATATGTTACACGCTACTGACTTTATTGTGTCTATTTACATAATAATAACTTAGAGTACACGAAAACGTTTCTACAACCCAAACTC